ACATGTTCGCTTTCTTTGTGCTTGTTTCAGAATCAAAAAATATTCCAGACCCTGAGTTGGTGGTGAAGTTTGGTCCTGTAAACAGCACACTGGGCTTCCTTCCCTGGCACATCAGGCTCACAGAGTTCATGTAAGCTTCTTTACGTCTCAGAATTTGCATGTTTAGATGGACCACTTTTAATAATGACGATGAAGTATGAAAGTTTGTTTGAATTTTGAAATTGATGTCATTAACTGAATTCACTTTGAAGCGCACTATGTTCAATGTGTAACCTACTCTGTGCCCTCAGCTCCCTGCCATCCCACAGAAATGTCTCGTATGAGGACTTGTTGGGTGCCCTGCAGCGGTACGGGGCTTGTCAGCAGCGGCTTGGACAGTGAGGCAGCAAAGAGATTATTAAATAAACAAGTGTGGGCTTTACACAGCCAGGACATCCCGGACAGGTAATGACTACCGTCCCTCATTACTCGTCGGCTCAGCTATGCCCATCTGCTGGACCTCTAATACAACAAGACATTTCAAATATATGGAAACCAGGAAACATAGCCAGCCAATCTTTACCACCAGCTTGTCTTCTAATGAATTCACATTCCAGGACTCATGGAACATGCTCGGTAAAACAAGAAAAAATGGCACTGACGTAAGACTGTCTCCACAGACTCAGTGGTCCTAACACCCTTGTTTGTTTCATTCTTTCTCCAGCTGTCATTTACTGCTGATGGAAAAATTGCCTTCACATAGACTATAAAGAAAAAACAAATCTTTGTGTGCAAGCTGCATCACAAGGAAATATAGCAGCAGTTTAGGGTCATGCAGCACAGGAGCTGAGCAGCAGAGTGGCTAATGTGTAAATATGAGAAATTCCTGTAGCTCTGTTTGTCTCTGTGGCCTCCAGCTTGCAGTCACGTTCATGTGTAGTGTTGTTTCATGCACATACAGACGGTTGTTCAACATTGTTTTTGGTCTGAAATAAAGAAATGCACTGTGTGTATTTGAATGTGTTTTTGTGTCTGTTAACACTCTTAGAGGAAAAGAAAGCTCCTTTTATGACAGAATGAACTCTTTCTATTATGATTTAACCTCGACTCACTGTGTGCTTGGACACGACTCAGTTCTTTATATTTTGCTTCAGTGCAGCGAGACTTGTTTGTCATTTTTAAGGTGGTCTTGAGTAATAGTTTGTCTGAAGTTTTTCTTTGGACATTAGTCTGAAAGTGGTTAGGTACAAAGTCACTTAGCATAGATCGTTGAATCAAGCATAAATCCAGCTATGAAAAATGCCAAAGGTGACATTCTGATGGGCATCAAATAGTATTTTTGCATCAAAAAAGCTTTTAACTGAAAACTTGGCATATTAGCATTCTTTGCATTTTAGTTTTATTATTTCACCAAATCACAACAGTCATCTCAAGGTGCTTACTGCCATGTCCTTGAGATATACATATAGAAACAGAAAAAATCCTGCAAGGAATTGGCACAAGACCTGCGAGATGGATCTGACCCTTCAGGTGATCCATATGTTTTCGAAGCCTCATATTAAATGGTTGCTGCCAAGAAGCCATTCTTAAGGAAGCTGAGCAATGCCAGACTACACAATTTTCTTCCCAGACCAATCATTTCAAAGAATCCTGGAGGGGTGGCTTGGCCTATGTCATCAATGAATGCTTCACATACCATCTGGAGATCATAGACACCTGCTATTTCATTATTTCTCATCACAGTAATTTTACTTAGAATGTTGCATTCATTATCACGTTTTACTAACCTCACTCATAATTATTGGTTGTTATTTTTAAATAGTAATTTGTTACTATTACTTCTCCAAGAAAGTAATCCCATTACTTTAAAAAAGTAATCAGATTATGCATTACTGCCCATCTCTGCTCATAATACACTGAAACCCTTAGTAACTCTCTAGGGTTACATTCAATATAGAAACAGCTTTAGTGAAGGTTACAAATGATCTTGTGGACTCATCTCTGCCTGTCATGCTAGACCTCTGTGCAGTGATCGAAAGTTGATCACATTTTATTACAGCGATTAGCGCATGCTGTAGGCATTAAAAGGTACCGGGCTATACTTGTTTGAATCATTTAATAGATCTAATATGATCACGGAGATGGAGAGTCCTCTTCACACACTAAGACTAATTATGGAATTCCACAGGGTCCCATGTCAGGACCAATTCAGTTTACATTATACACGCTTCCCTTATTAGAAGGCATATTTTCATTACTGTGCAGATAAAGAGCTCTGTCTGTCCACAAAGACAGATGACACACACCAATAAGTTTTTAATAAATCTTAAAAGGTTTGTGCAGTTAGAGGTCATCAAATTAGAGGTCAGCTCCGGGATGATCTCTAATTTTCTACTTCTAAATTCAGAAGTAGAAACAGCGTCGTTGCTTTGTATCACCTGCGATGTGCATTGCAACCTGTGCACTGCTGCCCGCGGGACAGAGACCAGTAGCTCCGCAGCTTCTCTGCCGACGCCCCTCCTTCTCCTCCGGTACTCCTCCGAGCACAATGCGCTGATATCCGCACGCTCGGTAAAAGAATGATTTCTTTTGTGTCGACAGTAGAGGGTGTTCCCAGAGATACGGGC